TTGTTGGGTGCTCCCCCCCCCACACACACACGCACGCACACACAGACGAAGCCGCTGCCGCACGACCGAGACGTGATCAAAGTGCGGAATTGGTCTGGCAAGATGCCTGTCAAGTGGCTGCCCCCAGAGTCGCTGTTTAAGGTGAGCGAAGTTTGTGCTGATCGAATGGCGCACTGTACTTGTGGTGGAGTGTTGTCGCTTGCTCGTGCATGATGTGACGGCGAGTGAGCGAGTGAGCGGGAAGCACCTCGTCTGTCTCGTTGGTGTTGTGTTTTCCTGCCTTTTTGCCGTTACTCATTCATACCATGCGCTCCTGTCGGCGCATGCATCACAACACTCGCATTTATGCTCACGTGTACTTGTGTCTCTGCTGTTGCGCGTGCACTAGGGCTTGTTCTCCGTTGCCGGCGACGTGTGGAGCTTTGGCGTCGTGTTGTGGGAGCTTTACAGGTTCGCACGCGGCGCTGTTGTGCGTGCGTCGTTTGGTTTGTTGGGAGCGTTGCACTCCTTGATGCCTGCGTCATGTTGTGTGTCACATCAACGGCTCCTCACCCTCCTTCTCTACGCGTCCACGTTCTCCAACACAAACACACAAACACACATACACACATACGCACACATCTACCTACACACACACACACACACACACACACACACACACACCAACACACACGCACACAAAATGGCAGCTATGGCGCCACGCCCTATGGTACGGCGAAGGGGATGGAGCTGCAGAAGCGAATCAAGGCCGGTCTCCGCCCAGCAAAGCCGTACGCGTGTCCTGACGCCGTGTACCAGCTCTGCCGCCGCTGCTGGCTCGACAGCAGAGCACAGGTTGGTCCTATGTGTGTGTGTGAGTGTGTGAGTGTGTGAGTGTGTGTGTGTGTGAGAGAGAGAGTGTGTGTGCGTGCGTGTGTGTGCGTGTGAGTGTGAGTGTGAGTGTGAGTGTGTGTGTGTGTGTGTGTGTGTGTGGTCTTGTTTTTTAGGTGCAAGTCACCGCTAGGAGCGTGTACGCCAGTTTTCATCGTCTCAGCTTCTGTTTTCCTGACGTTGCGCCCACATTCCCTCCTCCTTCCGACCGGCTTCAATTTGCATTAGCGGCCGACCTTTGCTGACATCCGCCGTGCTCTTCGCGAGTTCACCTTGTCCATCCATGCGCAGTGAGTATTGGCTTCCGTCTCCAGTCTTTCCAGTCGCTTATCACGCTGTTCAACGACACACACACTCACACACACGTACACCACACACGCACACACGCGCACACACACGCACACACACTCACTTGCACACACACACACACACACACACACACACACACATTCACTTGCACATACGTACACACACACGCCCATTTGTCCAGGCCGCAGCCGTTCCGCGATCTTGGCGCAGTGTATCGTGCGGTGTGCAGGGACAAGGCGATGGCCGGCACGCGCACACTGTCACGCCGGCACCTGGCAGACGATCGCGATCGACAGACGGACACGCACGTTGGCATCGCTGTGCTCATGCAGAATGGGCAGCACACCCACACGGCATCCACATGTGCATCCACACCCATGACAGCAGCAGCAGCAACAACGGCAGCAGCGCCAGTGCAGCGTTCCACGGCACTCCAGCGCGATGGCGGCGGTGGTGACGGGTGCGCGCGGGAGATGTCGACGACGTGGACGAATGGCAGCGACGACGCATTCCATGATGTTCGCGTGAAGGACAGCGCCTCGCCACCGCCACCGCACCACACACGACAGCAACAACAACAACAGCAGCAGCAGCAGGTACCGCGGCGCCCGCTACGGGTGCAAGGCAGTCGCAGTGCACCCTCACCATCACACCCACGCCGCCCACAGCAACAAGACGATGGTACAAGTGGACGGGTTCACCGGCAGCGCATCGTTGTTGCGTCGACGTCCACAGAGCCGTCGTCATCACCACGTGTAACCACACCGCAATCACCAGCGCCAGCCACGACGCCACCACCGCTGTCACGCTTGCCTGCTGGCGTGGCATCCCAAGGGCAAAGAGGAGGTGACGGCAACACCAGCCTTGACTTTGGCTCCTCCCTCATGGCTGAGCTGCGGGCCACGACCAGCAGCAGGCACACAGATGGTGATGGCGATGATGATGATGACGCAGCTGAGGTGATAGCGCGCATGGTGAGCAAGGGCGATCACGACGAGTCATCATGCTGATGGTGTGTATGTGGGAATGGGTGTGTCATGGCGTGTGAGCTTTTGTGTGTGTGTGTGTGTGTGTGTGTGTGTGTGTGTGTGAAAATGGTTGTGGATGCTTGTGTACATATAAACACACGCGTATGTGCAGCATGAAGAAGCACAACGCTGTGCTTCTGACTGCCCTCTCTCCCTGTGTTGTGATCACCACGATACCTTGCTGTTCACCAGGCTTCTATGTGTTGCCATGTCTGGTCATCATTCATCATTCACATGCTTGAGGGTCGAGAGAGTAATTTATGCGTTGCGTATGCATGTGTGTGCGCGCGCGCGTGGGGACTTGCGAATCAAGATCGTCAGCGTATGCAATAGGGAAACAAGGATGGATACAAATCAAAACTCAAATCGCCATTCAAAGAAGTTAAGCAGTGCAATCAAGTGCTGTGACATGATGAAGGCATCAGGGGGGAAACGGTAACGTGTGGCCAGAAATAACAGCACGGGCATCATCATCATCATCGTGGATAGCACACAAGACATGAAATGCGTGTCGCGCACACCAAAATCCCATTCAAAGCTGCAACAATGCTCAGAGAAGTAGCAAGGAGACAAAACCACAGGCACCAATCACAGTCCACGCACATCATGTACACACACGCGCGCACAGAGAACACGCCGCACAGCGGCTGTGACCAAGGCGGCAGGTGCCAGTGGGGACAGGGGTGGCACAACGGAAACCGACATGGGGCATGGGTGCGCGGGCACGACAGCACATGCAAAGGAAGGGCACACGTGCCAAGTTTGGCGAGGTGAAGAGCAGAGTCGAAAAGAGGAGGGGAAAAGGTAGAGAGGAAAGATAGCAGATATAAAATCAATCAGATGTGTGTGTGTGTGTGTGTGAAGAGGGGAAAGAATCAAGAAGAGGGGGGGGGGGAAGAGGGTTGCTTAGTTTAGAGATGATGGCGGCAAGGTCCCAAGCGTGGTTGAGCGAAGAACGCTCAGCCATTGCGACACCGCGACACCCATCACTCACTACTGCCTGCCGCTGCGCCTGCGCTTGCGCGAGCTCAGTAGTAGAAGCAGCACGCGTCGTCGCGGTCGGCGTCGAAGCCAAAGACCGGGTGGGTAAAGAGGTCGTCCGAGTTACGGCGCGCTGACGGCGAGGAGCAGGTGGACGCTGGGCGGGCGTTTGGGTCGCGCACAATGGCGTAGTTGCCGCCGTCGTTGTTGTCCCAGTACTCTGCGCCGTCGCCCGTGGTGAAGCAGACGCAGAACATGATGCTCTTGATGAGGCGGTAGTTGTTGAGGCGCAGCGTGAGGGAGAAGCGGGTGGTGCCCGGCACGCCCCCGGGGACGTAGTCGCATTCCTCGTCGTGGAAGGATGCCCAGTTGTCTGTGGTGTAGCGGACGACAATCTTCTTCTCAAAGCACTCGTCGGCGACGCGGACGGAGATGTGCACGGCCGGCAGCTGCAGGGTGACGGCCTCGACCTGCACGTGCTTGGACGCGATGCGCGTGTCCATGGCTGGCGCCGTGTGCGGCAGGACGGACGCGTCAAAGACCATGGCCTCGTCGTTGCAGGCGATGGTGTTGTTCTCCAGCGTGTGGTAGGCCGCGGGAGCCTGTGCGCGGTCCTTGCTGCAGCGCCAGGGCTCGTCGTACATGAAGAAGGGCATGTGGTGCTGCAGGTGGCCGCCGCACTCGTCCGCCCACCGCAGCGCCTTGCGCGGCTTGGGCGCGGGCTCCTCTGCGCTGGCGGCGTCCTCGTCCGAGGTGGTGCTGTCGTCAAGCGAGGGCGGGGCGGGGGTGCGTGGCGGTGTCAGGTAGGTGGCGCTGTCGGCCTCGGCATGGAGAAAGTGGGTGATGTCCTTGCAGGTCATGAGCACCTCCAGGTTCTCGTGCAGGGTCTGCTGGTCTTCCAGCTCCTGCTGTCCATCTGCCACATGGATGGCATTCTGTCGACAGGTGGCATCGGTAGTGGTAGTGGCGACGCCGGGCTGTTGCTGGTGGTGCTGGTGGTGGTGTTGTGGGGCTGGTCGCTGCAAGCTGGTGCGCCTGTGCTCTGCGATCTGGACGGTACCCGGCTTGGCGCTTGTGTGGCGCTGCTGTTGCCCGTGCTGCTCCTCATCGCGCATGGCGGAGAGCCAGTTGGCTTCCAACCGGCTCGTCGGGGATGTGGGTGATGTGGGTGAAGTTGGGGAAATTGGGGATGCAGGGGCTTCCTCCCATTGCGCAGGGTCAGCCTCGCGTTGGTGGCCAAGCTCCTGCTTCTTGGACGCCGCCGGTGATGCTGGCTGGTAGTTGCGCGGGTGCGTGCGGGAGCGCGATCGGTGGCAGCCCATGGCGTTGTCACTGGTTGTGTCTGTCTCTCGCACAGCCCCGATCCGTGGGAAGATGATGTGGGGCGGCGAGTACACGGCGGTTTGGGCGCTCATGGATGCTGCTGATGGTGATGCGGTGCAGCTGTTCTTGCGTGCGACGTTAGCGTTGGTGTTGCTTGGTGAGGCGTCTGTAGTTGCGTGTGCGGTTGCGTGTGCGGCGGTATCCGTGTCTTCAAAGGCAATGCCGTAGGTGTTGAAGCGCTGCTGCAGGTGTGGCGGGGCGCGGGACGTCACCAGAGCCATATGTGCGAACGGGGAGGGGGAGGGGGAGGGAGGAGAAATGAAGACGCGCGAGGCAAGCAGTGGATGGTGGCTGTGCAGGGGAAAGTGGTGATGTGCCAATCCGTTGTTGTCTGTCTATTTGCGGGGGTCGGTTGGTTTGGTTTGGTTTGGTTTGGTTGGTGCGAGATGTCACAAAGCAACACCGAGCAGCAGTAAAAGTAAGGTGAAGGTGGAAAGGGAGGAAGGGAGAGGGAGGAAGGGAGTCGGTGCGTGCTCGCGTGTAAGATGTGGTGGGATTTGTGAAAGACTGAACGAACTGAAGCAATATGTATCAAAAGGTGCTGAACGGAACGAGGGCTGATGCTGATCTCGTGCCTGTGTTGTTGTGGTTGTGGTTGTTGTTGTGGTGTTTGTGTGTTCGTGCGTTGATGTGAGCGCTGGTGCTGGTGTGTGTGTGTTGATACTGCTGTGTGGGGAGAAATAAATGAAGCAAGACCCCTCACACACGGTGCACGCGCACCACCAAGGGGACAAAAAAACTTACAAGTCGGCCCCTTCGCCAGGAATAGAGGCGGGGGGGGGGAACGATGAAGCAAGATGATGTGACAAAGGTGTGCGTGCGTGCGTGTGTTGCTTGCTTGCTGGATGTGCTTCACACTCTCCTTGGGTGCTTGTGGTTGGCTGTGTGGTTGTGTGCGCGTGTGCACTAGCAAGATGTGGCTCACTTTCATGTCATCCTCACACACACAGAGTGTGCTGCTCTGTTACGCACCACCCACGCAAGAAAACCGGCGGACACGCATTGACGAATATCAAATGAAGATGTTCGTGGAAAACCGACAGGCCATGGCGCAAGCTTCACAGGGCCTTGAGTCGGGGCGGTGGATGAACAAAGGCCACGAGGCGTGTGTGGCGTTGCCATCAACGACAAGCGCGTTGGGGCGCGTTGGGTGGCGTATCAAGATGATGACATGCTGAGTGTGAAAATTTAGTACGGGGCGCCGATGTTGCGTTGGTTGTTCAAATCGGGGCAGTTAGGTCAGGCCTCGACGTGACATGAACCGCCACTAGGCCGCGTGAATTGTGGCAAAGCTCGCATTTTCGCGCATGCCCTCAAATGAACACAACCCGCCATCTGTCCGAGAAAGGTGAGTCATCAAATCAGTCATTGTGCGGGAGGTGTCCGCTCAGTGTGTGCTGCTGTTGTGTGTGTTTCCTTCTTGCTGTGTGTGTGTGTGTGCTCGGTGCTGTGTTTTGCATGTGAGCGTGTCTTTCATGCACACAGCACGTACGACAGGAACGTCTCCTGCGATCCATTTCCCACACTGACCACACACACACACACACTCCACCAAAACGGCTCCAAAGGACACACACAGACACCTTCCTTCAGTGCTTCCATTCCACACTCCACCCGACAACTCTGATCATGATGCGCTCACGCACGTCCAAGGCTTTTGTGTTTGGGCTTGCCCTTGTGTGCTTGGGAGGTGCCGTCCTTGTCGCTGCCAACACGGACAAGTGCCCGTCCATGTGCACGCCAGACATTGGTGCGTGAATGTTTATGGGTGTATTTGTGTGTTTGTCCGTTTGTGTGTGTGTGTGTGTGTGTGTGTGTGTGTGTGTGTGTGTGTGTGTGTGTGTGTGTGTGTGTGTGTGTGTGTGTGTGTGTGTGTGTCCTGCGAACAGCATCAGACCCCTCTCCCTTTGCTGTGTTTACTTCAGTGAGTGAGTGTGTTGTTCCCCCTTCTTTGGTCTCCGCGTGCCCGTGCGCGTCTGTCTGTGTGCCTCCTCCGTCTGTTTTCCACTGCACACACACACACTCACCCGTCATGTGTATGTTTTTGTTTTGTTTTGCGTAGACAAGAACCACACCGTCATTGCGGCTGTTCCTGGACTTCGTGGCCAGGCAGGCATCGAGCCCAACTATGGCAACTGCCCAGTGAGTTTTGCCATGCAGTGTATTGTGTGTGTGTGTGCGTGTGGATGTGCGTGTGCGTGTGGATGTGCGCTTGAGGAGTGCTTGTGTGCTCGTACGTCCATCTGCGCTCATGCGTGGGTCCGTACGTGTCAGCATTCATGTCAGAAGCTGTGCAACGTGACCTTGCCCACTGTGTTTGCTGGTGCGTGTCAAGTTTTTGTTGATGCAACTCTCATGAGTCCATCTTCCTGCTGCTTCTCTTCTTGATCCACACAGACGGGCAACCACCCGTACCGCTGGACTGTGTACTGGGGCGATGGCGGTACGCTTGTGTGTGTGTGTGTGTGTGTGTGTGTGTGTGTGTGTGTGTGTGTGTGTGTGTGTGTGTGTGTGTGTGTGTGTTTGTGTGTGTTTGTGTGCGTCCTGACGTTTTGGTAAATGTCTCTCGTGTTTCATCACGCATTCACGCACGCTGATGTGTTTGATGTGTTTTGGTGTCTGCTCTTGTCCGCATGCAGTCGAGATGTCCAAGAACGAGACCGCGCTCATGCCGTACAACGCCATCTACTCCTGTAAGTTGCTCTGCATGTTGTGTGTTTGTGTGTGTCTCTTTGTGTGTGCGTGTATGTGTTTGCATGTGCCTATGTATGGATTTATGTGTTGTGCGTGATTGTTTCTGTGTTTCGTATTCACAGCAATCACACACTTGAGCGTTTTGACTGTCACGCCGTGCCATTGCTGTCGCTGCCCACAACACACGCTCTTCTGACTGACACGAACTTCCTTATCCCTCATCATCCTCGTGCTACCACCACCACCACCACGACCACACCCCGCACACGCAGACAAGCAGGCCGGCACGTACAACGTGACCATCGCCTATTGCAACTACCCTGCCCCATGCTGCATGTCCTGCTCCTACTACACCAAGTCCATCAACGTCACCGACTAAGCTGCAACGGCGCCACGGTGCAAGCTGTGCAACACCCAACCAATGGTGGTGGCCTGATGTCAAAGCTGCAGCTCCGTTGTGATGTGTTGCGTGTCTGAGTGAAAGTCAACCACAACCGCAACTCATGTTACCCGTTTCCCTCAACCGCAATTCGTGTTACTCGTTCCACTCACTCACCTCAACCTCTGCGCTTCGTTCATCGTTCACTTTCGCCACGGCTGAAAAGTTGAATGTTCACGTTCTTTACTCTTCTCTCCAACGCTTCTTCCTTCGTTACGTTGGCGTCTTGCTCTCTTGACGCAGTCAAGCCTGAAACGGCGGCACCACAAGACAATACACAACTCAATACACAAGCCCAACGCAAATGAGAGAAACACACCTGAACTGAGCATGTAACAACTGCTACACAACAGGCACACGAACCACGCTCACGAAAGAATCACCAAAGTACACACACATATATCCGACACACACACACACACACACATACACACACACGCAACACACACACACACACACGCACACATACACACACACGCAACGCACACACACACACGCGTGTCTGCCACTACAGTTAGTGGTTGTTGCTGCGGTTGGCGCCGGCGTTGACAATGTCGGCAATGAGCTGCTCGTACGGCAGGCCAGCGCGTTCGTACATGAGAGCAAGCTTTCCGTCCCAGCACCACCCGGGGTTCGGGTTCACCTCCAGCAGCTTGAACACGTTGTCGCGCTCGCTGAAGCGGAGGTCAAACCGGCCGTAGTCGCGGAGCTCCAGCCGCGCAAACAGGCGGCAGCACTGGTTGTACAGCTGCGCCACGTGCGAGGGCGAGAGATTGGTGGCGGGCGCATACGACACGGCCGTCCAGTAGGGCGAGGACGGATCCCACTTGGACTCGTACGCCAGGATGGGCGGCAGATCGCTCGGCAGCGCGCTGTAGTCAACGCGCAGCACGGGCAGCTGGCGGATGGACGCCGGGTCCACATCGCCGCTCACGGCATCAAAGGCCGGGTTGCCAACCACGCCAATGCTAATCTCCTCGCCCTGCAGGTACTCCTGCACAAGCACGTCCTTGCACAGCACGTTGGCGGCGGCGCGGATGGTGTTGATGTAGGCCACCAGCTCCTCTTCGCCGTGCACAATGCTGCCTGTGGTGATGCCCACAGAGCCATCGCCACGTGCGGGTTTGATAAAGGCGGGGAACCCAACCTCGGCCACCACCCGCTGCACCGCGCTGGACGCCGGCGTCGCCGCGGTGCTTGCATGCACGTCCTCGTGCGCCAGCACTTGCACCTCCGCGGGCACAGGCACGCCCATGCTCTTGGCTGCGGCGTTGACCAAGCCCTTGTCGTAGCACACGGCGAGGCATGCGGAGCCGGCGCCAGTGTACGGCAGGCCCTTGAGGTCAAACAGCGCCGTCACGTGCAGCTCAAGGCGCGCGTCGTTGAACAGGCCCTCATCGCACAAGTTCAGCACCAGCGGCAGGCTCTCCTGCTGCTTGGTGGTGGTGGTGCTGTGGGCGCCAACAGCGACACGCTCCAGGTCCTGCAGGAGCGTCTGGTGGGCGTTGAGGAAGGTGACCTTGGTGCGGTTCTTCTCTGCCAGCCGCTTCACTGCCGCCTGCATGCGCGCCACCGTCTCCAGGTCCTCCGGGTTCCACTGCTGGTTGAGCTTCTCCGAGCTTGGCATGGACGGGTCGCCAGTCACCACCACAAGCTCGCGTGTGTTGAGGGCCAGCGTGGGCACGCCTGCAGTGGCAGCGGCGGTTTCCGATGGGGTTGTGACGGCGCTGGTCATGACATCACCAGCCACACCAGTTGCCGTCTTGCTCGCAACTGCTGCTGTTGGGGTTGCTGCCAGCAGCATGCGGTGCTCCATCATGCCCAGGTCCTGGCCGCGCGCGCTCGCCTCGCCGGTGAGCGTGTCGACTTGCCTGCAGGCAGGAAAGCCCATGTGTGCCAGCAGCGCCTGCATCTCGCCCAGCTCGTACAGGCGCTCCGCATAGAGCTGGTCGCGCACAACGCCGTCGGTGGTGCTGGTGATGATCTCGCGCGAGACGAGGCGGCGGCCGTCCCGCGCCAGCTGCCGCTCGCGGCACACGAACATGGTGGCGTCAATCCACTCCCACGAGCGCGGGCTGAAGTTGCGCTTCATGTACGCGCCGTCGGTCAGGTCCAGCACCAGGGTGCCGTTCGGCTTGAGGACGCGGGCAATCTCGGCAAGGACAATGCGGTCCGCCTCCTCGCGCTCAAAGTAGCCAAAGGAGTTGCCCATCACCATCACCACGTCAAAGCGCGTGTCCTCCTCCTCCTCCTCCTCCTCCTCCTCCTCCTCAGCAGAGGCAGGAGGAAAGGTGAACGGCAGGCTGCGGCAGTCGGCAACCGTGAATGCGGTGCGGGTGGCGAGCGTGGCATCTGTGGTGTCGGCCATCGCACGGGAGCGGGCAAGGTCGATGAGGAAGGCAGACTGGTCCACGCCGTGCACGCGAATGTCGGGGCGGCGGCGAGCGAGCTCCAGGCTGTGGCGGCCCTGGCCACAGCACAGGTCAAGCACGCGCGCGTTTGGCGGGAAGTCAATGTTGTTGAGCAGCACGGTGACCTCGTCGGCGGTGATGCTGGGGTCTTCCACAACGTCGCCGTCAGTCTTGAGGTACATGTCGTCAAACAGGGTGGTCCACCACTGGTCCTGCAGCGCATCCTCAAGGCACTCCATTGGGCCAAAGCAACGGCCTGTCTGCTTCTGCTTGGTGGCGGTGGTTGTGGTGATTGTGGGGGTTCGCTTGTTGACGGTGCTGCCGAGTTGATTATCGGCCGCGGCGGTCGTGGTGGTGATGGTGGTGGTGGTCAGTGACGACGACGACGGCGGCGGCGTTGGACTCACTGGCGAGCGGGGCTCCGAGGCGCTGTTCTGCCCGTTGTCCTCCATGCCAGAGTCTGAGTCTGAGACAACGACCGGCGGTTCATCCGGGGGCTTTGGAGTCTCCGAGGCCGAGAGTAGTGAGGTGGCTGCCGTGGTCGACGATGACGAGGACGACCCGGCTTGCTGGCTTTTCGCTGTCTGCATCATCTCTCTGGTGGGAAAGAGAAGGGCTGGGATTGATGGAGGGGGGGGGGGAACGCTTGGCTGATGGAGCGGAAGTTGGGGTTGGGGTTGAGGTTGAGGTTGAGGTTGAGGTTGAGGTTGAGGAGGAAGCGGCTTGAGTCGAGCGAAGGGTTGTAGTGTGGTGTATGTGTGCGAGTGGGTGTTGCTGTTCGTCGGTCGCTGGTGCTTGTGGGCTTGGGACGGTCGACGGGAAAATGAACACGTCAACGCAGGTGGAGAGTGGAGATGCTGGCTGTTGTTGGAAGCAAAGAAGCACAGCAAAGCTCTGCTGGGGTCAAAGTAAAAAGCAAAACAAAGCAAGCAAACTGAAGCAAAGGGAAAGGAAGGCAGTATAGCACAGCGCGCACTGCTTTCTGTGCTTGCTTGTTCGTGCGCTTTGTTGTTGTTTTCGTGGACAACAACAAAGAAGAAGCAAAGCAAAGAAGCAAAGCAAAGAAGAAGGGCAATCCCCTCTTCTCACTGAAGAGCAGCGGGGGGGGGGGGGGCGGGTGGTGTCGCAAACCCGCCCAGCATCTCGCAAACTCTTGCTGCAGCAGTCTGCTGCGTGGATGTGTTTGAGGATGACAGCAACACCGACTGCACCTGCGAAAGTCCTTGCTTCACTTCTGTTTGTGTTTGTGTTTGTGTGGTTGTGGTGTGTCATCATTCATCGGTGACGGTAAATCATGCATGGAATCATTGACGAACAAAACCGCTTGTGTTAGATTCAATGGCGGTTTAACGAACTTTTCCGTCATCACAGTTGTCATTGCGCAGTTGCCACACAGGTGAGACAGGGAGAACACGACTTGCTTGGTGTGTTGTTCGTAAACATGTTGTACATTATCTTTGCTTGTGCTTGTGTGGTGGGCAGTGTGTTCAATTTGGTTGGCGGGGTGGCGCGTAAGCAACACGGCACGCGCGAGAAATACACACAGAGCAATACACACACACAGCAATGCAGCAAGTGCCCAGGGGGTTGCACAACTTCGCTGGTGATGGATGCAAAGCAAGCGCGGGTGGAAGAGGCGAAGCAAGAAAGGTTGAAACAAGATAGGTTGGAGGGGGTAGGTTGAAGGTTGGTTGAAGGATGAAGGATGAAGACAAGAGCAAGGAAAGAAGCGAAGAAAGAATACAGGGAAGTGATGAAATGAGAAAGGGGGTGCGCGTGGAGGACACGTGCACAGCCTGTGTTTAGATGGTGGTGGTGGTGGTAGTGGTGACGGTGTTGTTGAGGAAGGGGCTGATGACGTTGTCGAGGAAGTACTTCATCGTAAACTGCAGATGGTCACCAGGGCATTTCTACAGACGCGTCATTGTGTGTGTGTGTGTGTGTGTGTGTGTGTGTTCGGGCTCGTATGGGATGTTCGCCACAGGCTGAGCGAATTTCCTACTTCGCCCGCTGATCATGAGTACTATTAATATGCGAGTCAGTTAATATTTTCTTTTCGTGCCAACTTCGCCATGTTGGGGAAAATCAGGCTTGGAGCTTGCAGTGAATTATGAAGAAAGGTGCGTGATGACTTGGCGCTTATTCTCACCGGCGCCGTCTGATCTAGATGACAGGCAGTCTTATTCCATTCGAAGTTCTATATAGTGTTGCGTAGAGATGCGCGGGGTGTGCTCGTGGACAGGCGAGCACAACAGCGTACGAGAGGAACGAAGTGATATACAACGAATCAGCCGAGTAGGCCTCAGGCATTAGATAAGAATCCGACTAGACGAGACCGTGCGATGTCATGGCTACTTTACTAAGTTCCTGACTGATGCTGGCTAC